ATTCCCAGAAAATTGCCATAGTATTCACTTCGAAAAGAAAGTAGAAGATCTTACTTAATTCTTTCTTACTTTATGCAAGTATTCTATTTCCATTTTCCCTCCTGCATTTCAACCTCGAACTCAAAAACTTTTTTACAATCTCATATTAGTTCGCGTGCAAATGGTATGTAAGATTTCTCGCACGCAAATGGCCATAATATTATGTTTTCACCTAAACGCTATCAACAGATCTCACAAATGAATTATTACAGGTGACAGAAAAAGTAAGGATAGATTGAAAGCTATGAATATAACAGCAAAAGGAACAACGTTTTGGCAAACCTAAGATTACAATTTTTTTGTTTGGCTATCTTAACCATGAAAGAGAAGTTCTTAAAATTTTTTAAGCCTTGCGACATAATTCTTTGCTTAAAGCTCGTTTTTTAATCCAAAAAATTGCAACAGAATTGACTATTTTTTCAAAAGAAATCGGCAACGGAAGCTGCAATAACTGGCATTGCTGGGAAATGCTGAAAATTAGTGGATAATACGGTTTCTATTCTTGCGACTAATAAATTCCGTAAATCTTGCACGCAGAAGTAGTCTGTAATAGTTCTGCAGAAGTGAATGGCTGCATATCCTTTCTTTAACCGGAAGTCCACCTATGCATTCACAACACGTCACTGAACTAACGTCATGTAGGAAAAAACAAACAAACACACCAATCGCACTTCATGCACACCACGACAGCACAAATTAGTAACTTACACTGAGTTGATATGGTTTACTTCTCTATACGTTTACGTTAATCTGAAGCTGTTATAACATAACGATTTCACCGCATAAAAAACCGATATTCAAAAATTCAAAAACGCTTACTGTAGCTTCAGTATCATCAAAGAATTGTCGTTCCCAATCCAGTCTATCCGGGCCAGGGGTGTCCAATCCATTAGCGCCGTTCATCTGTCGTGCACCACCCATTGGCGCATAACTGGCAGCAGTTTGCTGTGGTCCAGCCCCACTTTGCTGGGATGCAGCTAATCTCCAACGGGCTGTTCCACCAATAAGATCGCTTCTTCTAGAAGATTTGGATAATGCAGGCTGATCGATCGATAAAAACCAAGCAATAGTAACTACCTCCTTCTGTTGCTATAGATAATCTTCGCTATCAAAGCTACTGCAACTGCAAACAGTATTAAGGATAAAAACACCAATCCTGAAGGAGAACCAGCTGGTGGCACCATAGAGGTTGTGGAAAGCACAGAACCTGAAAAAAGATTTCTTATGTTTATTTATAAACCAATAATAATAAAGGTTCACTTCGAAGACTTTACAAAACCGATTTACACGTGAAGGAGATTTAGAATTATTTCTTGAAAGAGAAATTTCTTGTAGAAATTTCGCAGCAAATAGAAACCATAGACTGCTAAAACACAAACATAAAGTTCTCTCTTGAACAATTATTCAATAAATTTTAGACCTGCGTACACCAGGAAACATACACGCTCCTAGACATGGGCAAAAACAAAGAGAGAAAAATTACCAGTAGTTGTGTTTGGGTGCAGCTTTGTGACAGGTATGTGCGTTGTCGTTGCCGTTGTGGTAGAATTTGCTGCAGCTGGGCCAGCCTGGAAAAATGCAGCCATTTTTCCATCCAGAATACTAATAATGCCTAAAGTGTATATAGATGAGTCAGAAACGAAATGTCAATGCGCCGTATTAAGGTGCGTCAGCATTGGGAATATATTCAATAGTTTTATTGTAGCACACGATGATTAGTTTAGCAGACTAAAATTTATTTATGATTGAGCGCTTACCAAATTTGAATACGCATGAATTTCCTAGTTGTATAATACGGGGGCAAAAGTGAAGAAGATAAAGTCCTTTCAGTTCTCATTATCTCTCTCTCTCGATTGCTTTCAGAAAAATTATAGAAGCAGTTGAGAAAGAGAGATAATGTAAATCAAGCGAACTGTAGGATTTTATGAAAAGTAAAAAAATACTGCTACCCCTTTTTAATAACCGATAAAGTTGACTAGACGATAATAATTTTAAAGAAGCCTCAATGTCTCAAACGAAGAAACTGAAATTATCTGAGCGGAAATTTGTAAAATTCTTTCACTAACAAATGCGTGAAACGGTGAAGAAAGAGGAAATTGGAGGAAGGGCGCCACGGAATTGGGAAGATGTAATTTTGTTAAAATTGCCATTATTTTTCATTCCTTACCATGAAAAAGAGAAGAGATGACATCTAAAAGGACTTACATTGCCATTTTCTTTATCCTGCTATTCAACCAAACCTTTGTTAACAACAAAAAAATAAAACAGAGAATTGTGACATGAAATGAATGCTGGGGGTTTTCAAATTGACAGATATACGAAAGTAAGCTAGTCAATGTAACTATAAAAAGGAGATTAGAAGGGATGCTCAATTACATCCTCTCTCTTGAATAAATCAGAAGTTCAGACAACAGCCCCTTCCCCTCCCCACACCAAGTTTTCAAGAGAACATTGGAAGCACAGAGATGAGGGAATGATGAGGCGTGGTGTATTAGAAAAAAAAAGAAAAAAATGTAAACAGAAAGGCTGCGATAAAAAATGGAATATCAACCCTAAGTACAGGAAAAAAACATGTGCTAGCCATCAGTTAAACAAAATGTAGAACTATCATGTAAACAGGTAAGCTGCATGTAAAAAAAATATAGAAAAAACGCCCAGAAATCAGGAAATATCAGCATTCAAAGTGGAACGTCAACATACCGTTGTCGGCATGGTAGTCGTTGCTGAAACCGTAGTTGTGCCATTGGTGAAGTTCCCATGGGTAGGTAGTACAGTGGTCGTTATAGTCGCCAGCGTTGAGTTGACAATTCTAGAAAAAAGTAAAATATCCATACATGAGGAGCTGAGTAAACCAATTCAATTATTTTCCCTCCGGTAACGTGATAGATGTTATTTCGCAGCCTCTGCATTCTAAAAAAAAGTGCACTTCCCCGAACATGCTAGCAACTAAGGGAATCAGCAGCCATTCATAAAACGAGCCATTTCTACTTTGCACGGAAGAGGAAGTGCAACGAATTTACCTTTTTCTGTAGCTTTGTAAAAATAAGGACAAGTAGAACGCATTGAACATCTGAGCGACACTTTTTGCAGACAAAAAGATGTAAACAATTCAGTGGGCAGTTGAGACAC